AGCTCTACATAAAGGAGTTTAGAGGAAAAAAATGATTCCTTTATGTGAGATTGTCAAGTAATTCTTGTCTGATTTTAAGATAGAAAATGTCTATGGCCATCAGCAAAGTGAATGGGAATTATATTCAGTTCAGTTGAGATATACTTGATATGCTGTGAAGATAGGAAGAAACAGGACGAACTTTCTATTTTTTTCCTTCTTATCAAAGGCTTATAAAATCACCAGATTATTACTCTTTAAAATGAGTATATCACAGTATCTTCTTTATTAACAATTAGAACATTAGACAAAAACTAAGTTTCAATTTCAACATTACCAGCATGTGACCTTGGTTGAGACCTTGGTTGTGATTTAGAGCCACAGTTACTAATTTATATCTACGTCTATTTTTAGACATTAGCACTTGCCTTATAGCACTGTAGAAAGCAGCAGAGATAAAGTATAACAAGTACCTGGCACAGTATTGAAACAGAATAGGTACACAAAATGTAGCTATAATGAGGATGAGAATGAAGATGATGCCTATTTTGAAACTGTCTCAAATTTTATTTCAGTTTCATTTCCTTAAGTAGTTCACAGTTACCATTTGTGTTGGTTATTTGTAAAACATAATTTTTCTTTTTTTTAGAATGACTTATTCTTGATTTCAAGTATCTTTGAACCACAGGTGGACATCCAGCCAAATTAAGAAGGTGATTAGATGACCACACTAGTACGTTACAACCAAACTCTCACATATATTTAATTTTCCCATGACAGGTTGGTAATACCCAAATTCCACATGCTAATAATACTCCTGGTCATCCATAACTGTTCATTTCCACTTTCAACCATGTAAGTGCTCCATCAAAATTATTTAACAATTTTTTTTCCATACAAGTCTCTGTGACATGCTGTGGTTTGAAGAAAAAGCGTAGGATCAAGGTTTACAAGACAATGTTTGAATTTTGGCTCTGCTATGATCTTATATTTCCCTAAGCATTGGGATCCTTATTTGTAAAATGGGGGTTGACTCACTTTTCTGAGTCTGTCCATTTCAGCAGTGGCTGTGAGGATGAAAAAGCTCTTTAAGCTGTAAATTATCTCCATGTATTATTAACTAACAGTTTTAATTTGCCTATTTGGAAGCAACACTGCAGAGATTCATACATTCCATACAGATTATAAATTAGGTATATCTGGTAGAAATCTAGTTGTAGAAACTTCAAAAGGGGAGTGGTTTTTTGTTTTTTTTTTTGAATTGGAGTCTCACTCTGTCGCCCAGACTGGAGTGCAGTGGCCGCTCCCGGCCACCGCAGCCTCGACCTGCTGGGCTCCGGCGATCCTTCCGCCTCAGCCTTCCGAGTAGCTGGAACTACAGGTGTGCGCTTCCACGCCTGGCTGATTTTTTGATTTATTGTAGAGATGAGGTCTCGCCAAGTTGCCCAGGCGGGTCTCGAACCTGCAGGCTCAGGCAATCCACTCACCTCAGACTCCCAAAGGCACGGGATTACAGGCTGAGCCACTCAGCCCGGCTAGGGCAGTGGTTTTGATGTACAGAAACTCAGCTCCAAGTAGCTTAAGCATAAAAGGGAATACACTGGATCACTTACCTGGGAATATGGAAATTCTGGTGTAACTTGTTTCAGGCATGCTTCTATCAATCAAAGTCTCTGCCTCTCTCTCCTCTGTTTTCGCCATGCAGACAGGCTTTCCCTTTATTAGGAATAAAATGGCTGTTGACAACCTCATTTTGTATTCTTCAAATTCTATGACCCAAAAAGGCAAGGAGCCTTTTTTCTCTTCCATGTTAAAAAAAAAAAAAAAAAAAAAATCTTAGGGAAGCATTTTTAACCCAATGCTTGAAATTAATGGGAAAGAGTTTCTTTGGAAAGAGTCCAGTGAAGCAGGGTTTGGGGATTAGTGGTCTCACTAGAATCACACGACTTCAGTGAAAGAAGAGCAGTTGGGACAGTCTCCAAAGGAAGTAAAATGCATAGGGAGACAAAAATGACAGCAGTCATTACAGGCATGAGGGAAGAAGGAAGACAAGAATGATGATGAAGAGTCTTGCTGCCCTTATGAAATGCCCAGGGTCTCTGTATTAAATCAAGCACTTTGCTTTTGAAGATTAGTATGATCATCCTTTCAGTTTGCCTAGGACAGTTCTGTTGTCCTAGCATAATTATTAAAATAATCTCTTTTTATTCTCATATGTGCCCCAGTTTGGACAATTAATTATATAGTCACTGTAAATAAAACCAATTAGTAATTTGGCTTCAGGTACCCAATCTGTTTGAAGTTATCCTATTCCTTTGACTCGGTTGAACTTTGATTAATTTTCCATCTTTTCTTTTCTACCCCATGTCTGATATTTGACATTTGGAGCTCTTCTCATGACTTACACATTCCTATCACCTTCTTCCCTTTTATTGGTCACCTAATATCTTCCCCTTCCAGGAACTCTTCTGAATTTTAAGTAATGGTGAGAAAGGCTTAACCACCTACTCATCTGCACAGAGCATCTCTGGCAGCAATTCCTTCTAGTTACACGTACACTCACTCTCCAAATAGGGTAGTTTCAGCCGGTGCAACTTCAGTTGCTGTTTCTTCAGAATGGAAGATCCTCGAGGTCAGTCAGTCATGACTTTATGCTTTCTATTCTGTCATACAAAGTATGATATATAGGGTGAGGATGGATAAAGCAATAGACATAGTGTGATGATGATAACATAAATACATTCTTTATAATATATACCCAATAGATCCCTTTGCATGCCAGCTAAGAGGGAAGCATCTTTCTCAGTTTGAGCAGCTACCTCCTGGCTGTGGTTGTATGGATCCAGTGGAAGTAGTGAAGAGAAGGGGTAAAACAGAAAATAATCCCAATATCTATCTGAGAAAAGTTGAGAGAGGGAATATCAATATCTATCTGAGAAAGGATGAGATAGGAAAGGAAGGAAATAAGTAAAGGTCATACTGAGGCACTGTAGGAGTCTAGTGGCCACTCCTCACACTCTTTTCCATGTGAATGGTGCTCCTACCTCCTCACATTCTGCGGCATGCAGTGTGGGTAGAGTTCCCTGGAGGTGAGTAACTTGTCAGCCAACCTGGTGGGATGGGGCCAGGAGATGTCTGGTGTTCACAATGGGGGTTTAATCAAAAGGCACAGCTGCTGTGCAGAGAAATCCGTTGAGGAGACCGTGTGCTCATATAAAAGAGGTTTTCTGGGAAGTCTTTCATTTATTCAATAAATAATATATACTTTGTGCTCTTCTCTGTGCCAAACACTGTTATAAATTCTGGGGATATAGCAGGGATACATATAGTGTCTGTATATTTATAGGCAGAGCATTCTTCCCTGGTAGAGCTTACATCTTGGTGAATAGAGACAGACATTAAACAAATATATTCAATAGCATTTTAAATGATGACAAGTGTTAACGAAAAAATAGCAGCTCTGGCGAGCTGGAGTTGGGGAAAGGTGGTGACAAATTTAACAATGAACAGTCAGGGTGGGCTTCAGAGAAAAAGTGACATTAAAGCATAACATGAAGGAGATGAGAGGGGAGCCCAGCAAACATTTGGTAGAAAGTCTTCCAAGTGGAGCAGACCATCTTGCAGAGTGCCTGAAGTGGATGTGTGGCTGGTGTGTTCAGAAACAGCAAGACCAGTGTGGCTGAAGGTTGTGGGAGGAGAGGGAGATAAAGTGTGAGACTAAGTGGAGCAGGCAGATGATGTAAGGCTTGGAGGTCATTAAGCTTGGAGAAATGGGATCTGTGCAAGGCTTCCTGGCAGAACCTTTTGATTGCATCACTGCCTAATGCCTTATGCAATATAATTTCCTCAAGAGCTCTTCGGTATTTGTGTTTCTTTTTAATATGACACAGTGCTAATTCTTTGTACACTGTACTGTTTCATTCAGGTTACAATAGGCTCTGCATACAGTACAGATCTCTCCACAAAGAGGCACTTGTTGAGTGAATGAATGAATGAACACATGAATGAGCACATGGGATTGGCCTTTTAGCTTTCTCCATGCAGGTTCTCAACGTATTATTTCAACTTTATTGTCCCCATATCCTTTATCATCTTGGGCTCTATTCAGCTTGCCTGTTCTCTCAACTATCTATTTCTGCCTCTGTATTTGCTCATCCCACTTCCCCCTACTTGAGATGCTCTCCCAGACCTTCTCCAATGGATTCAAATTCACATGCGAATGGTGTTCCTACCTCTTCACATTCTACAGCATGCAATGTGGGCAGAGCTCCCTGGAGATGAGCAACTTGTCTGCCTAGTGCAATGGGAAGAGATATCTGGTGTTCACAATGGGGGTTTGATCAAAGGCACAGCTGTTGTTGCAGATACATACTTTGGGGGAGACAATTTTTCACCGGCTCTTCCTTATCTCCTTCATGTTTCTGCTCAAATACCACCTTCTCTCTGAAGCCTACCCTGACTGCTCATTTTTTAATTTGCCACTGCCGTTCCTCAACTCCAGCTGTCCAGAGATGCTCTATCCCCCCCCATATCACTTGTTATCATTCCCATATTGTTAAAGACAAACCCCATTTCCGCCAGGAATTTGAGCTTCTATAGCATCTCTCCTCTGATATCTTTCATTGGCTTGATCTCTTGCGTTGGGTAACTTTTTGGTTGTTTATTTAAAAACCATTTTTTGAACTCTGTGTGTTAGGCAAAGAATACATAAATGAACACCAACATCTCAGGAGGTACTTTTACCGTGACTGTTATATAGAAGTTGATCGGATAAGAGAGGTTTAACGTCCCGAATGATCTCACACAGATTAATTAACAGGGAATGCACCGGGACCAGGACCCAAGTCGTACCCAAGACAAAAATAGTCATCGTCTTTCGTTTTCGTGAAAGAGTTAACCTGGCGTTTCCTTTCCGCGGCCAGTTCACTCCACTCCCAGCTCGGCGAATCAAAAGCAGCCGCGTCCAGGAAGCTTGTCCAGTGAGGGATTCCGTAGTGACACTCCCTCCGCCCCTCGAGTCGCGGACGAACATGGCGGCCCCCGAGTCAGGGCCGGCTTGGAGTCCCGGAGCTGCGGAAGGCGAGGAGGAGACGATTCTCTATGATTTGCTGGTCAATACCGAGTGGCCACCGGAGACAGAAGTACAGGTGAGCTACCCCTCCGCACCCCCACGGCTGCAGGCAGCTTGGCGCGGGCGCTTCGTGGGCAGAGCCACGTAGCAGGAGCCACGCAGGGGAGGGCAGCCGGGTGGGCGGGGGAGCTGGGCTCGGCGGCTTGTGAGGTCGACCTGGCAACGGCACCTCGGGCTAGCGGGGGTCTGGGGCTCCTAAGGCGGAAGGTGGTCCCAGAGTTTCCTCCCGGGCTCAGAATTTGGTTGTCGGGGGGCGGAACTTCGTGCTCTGGGCCACGTATTTTCCCTTCTGGTTGTCAGTGTCACTCTTCGTACTTAGAGGGGAGGGCACAGCGCTGGACTCGAGGGTCTTTTTCGTATCTGGACTCTTGGTGGTCCTTTCTCACGGGCTGGCAAAGGCTGGTGAGGGCCGATCTTCAATTGAGGCGGGACAATATTCCAGGACCCGACATCTGGCGGGCTACCGCGGAGCGCGAGATCGAATCCTTTACCACTGCATGGGGCTGAATCGCGCCAGTTCCTGTGTGTTTCATTAAATAAGCATTTGATAAGAGTGTGTGTTCCTCCGTCCGTCCCCTTGTCCCAGATACTGACCTAGGTGTTGAAGATGGAAAGATGAATAAGCTTTCATGGAACTTCCAGTCTAGAGGAGAGACAATCTAATAAACTTTTAAAATAGCTTAACGTAATATGCTCTTTAGTAGCGGTGTCAACAAAATGTTATGGGAGTGAAAGAGTAAGCTAGTGACCAGTTGGGATCTCTACTTGAGAAGGGGCGATGATGGGGTTGATAACTTAAGGACTGGACCCTGGAGTCCTCACCAGTTGTTTCGTAGGGAGATCCTAGGGTGAAGAGTAGGAACCAGAGATCCACATTTATTCCACAGATATTCATTGAATGCCCAACACATGCAAGTTTCTGTTTTAGACTCAGAGGAAGCAGCAAGATTGAAAAGAACCTTTATTAAAGATTATGGAATCCAACCCATGTGGATTCTCATTTATGACATCTTTCCCGAGTGTTTCTTTAGCTTATTTTCCTATAAAGTTTATTTTTTCTCCATGACCTCCTTCCAACTGCAGTTTCTACTTGTCTTGAATAATGCATTTTGTGGAAATCTGCAAATATTACTGTTTTTCAAGTATTAGTTTATCTTTGTGTTAACAACGCGCATATTTTGTAGATTATGCTGCTAGGAAGCTGTTGCAGCTGCAGTTAGTTGTATAAGTTTCCACTCCTTAACGCTCATTGGTTAATTGCCATAATGTTTCAGAATGCTTAATATAAATTGATGTCAAAAAATAAGCATAATATTAACTTACTTTGAAACCACATAGCACTTTGCTATTTTGGGGGATTCTGTTGATTTCTACATTCTGTTGATTTCAGTGATGTACTATGAGCTCTTGTAGGGCTGCTATATCTGATTAATCTTTATAGTCCTTCCCAGGGCCAAATTATGTCTTGTGTGAATTGGACGATCAAGTCCTGGTTGTTGAGTAAAGTAACTTTTCTATGTCTTTAAGCATTATTTATCTGTATTTTTTGTATGTCCATTATACTATTCTTGACTGTTTTAGTGCATGTTATGTAGTCCTGTCTACCCACAGTGAGTGTTCAGTCTATATTTATGGAATATATTTATTTAATATAACAGTTATATATCACTGTTTTGTTAGTGTATTGCCTCTACGAATATGCAACAGATATTCAATGAATCTGCCTTGGAGACAGGAGTTTATAAATCCCTATGACTACTTCTCCTGTGAGCAAGTCTTGCAGCTCACTCAAATAGAGTGAGCTAGCTACCAGTATGAGCTAGCTATCAGTATGAGCTAGCTACCAGTATGATTTTTGCCCTTGACTTCTCTTGTCTTTGGATGGGTTGATTTGGGAAGTTTTCAGCTTCAAGCCTTATCCTCCTGCAAGGTTCATCCTGACACACGCCTGTAGTTTTGTCCTGCTCATGTTTATTCTGTTGTCCCCAGGCCCTAGGCGACTTTTTTGTTTTCAGTCGATAAGTAGTTTTAGGATACTAGTTCCTGGCACCCAAAACTCTGAGTATTAGTAAAGAAGAATAAGTTTATATATTGTATAAGTAAAATTCCCAAATGTAAGGTTTTTTTTTTTTTTTTTTCTTTTGAATTGTAGCCTAGGGGCAACCGAAAACATGGTGCATCCTTTATCATCACAAAAGCAATTCGAGGTAAATATAGTTTGTTTATTTTCTACGTATAATGATATGGTTAACAGTTAAAATCTGTTTTTTAGACTTCTGTTGTAGAGCCTGATAAAAGTGAGCAGCAAGCTGGGCTTGGTGGCTCAGCCTGTAATCCCGCGCCTTGGGAGGCTGAGGTGAGTGAATTGCCTGAGCCCGTGGGTTTGAGACGCACCTGGGCAACTTGGCGATACCTTATCTCTACAATAAATCAAAAATCAGCCAGGGCGTGGTGGTGCGCGCCTGTAGTTCCAGCTACTTGGAAGGCTGAGGTGCAAGGATCGCCGGAGCCCAGCAGGTCGAGGCTGCGGTGGCCGGGAG